AGGTTGCTTCTATATCCTTCCACATTAATGCAGGGAGATCCAGGGCTCTATCTACAGTGTTTTTTATCTTCATTAATGATCTTCCTAATGCCATCAATTCTTAACTAGATATTTATGCTGATAACACCATTTACTCTTGTCTTAGTCGCAGGTCAGACATGTCTGACAAATTAAAACTGGCAACTGCTTTCAAAAAGGACTCCCTAATCAGTGATTAAATGGGGCAGAGAGTTGCTTGTAAATCATAACACCTCTAAAACAAAACATTTAATCCCCATAGAGAACCTTTTCTACTTGCCATCAGCATGACTGATGCTAACCTCAAGGAGAGCAACACTTTGCACCTTCTCGGGATCATGTTTTCCACTGAATATGAAGTGGAGGGATTATATTGAATCAATTACTAGATCTACTGCTAGGAAAGTTTTCTGATCAGAATCCATCTTGCATATTTATAAATCTACCAGTCATCTGTGCATTGAATATTGCTGCCATATGTGGTCTTGTGCTCCCTTCTCTATAACTCAAGATTCAAAGAAGGCTCTGTAATGTAATCTCTGACCTGGCATCTTGACTTCAGTCTTTTTTCCACCAATGGGACGTACCGTCCTTCTGTCTTTTCAATAAATATTTTCATGGCAATTATTCTAATAATTTTACCTCCTTGGTGACATGACTTCATGAATTTAAGCATGCTACTAGATTGGAAACTAAGTCTCACCATTTTATTGATGAGCTATCTAGATTCAACCATATGTTTTATTCAAATATTTTCTTCCATTGCATTGTAAACTTTTTGCTTCCCTGTCACCTACAGTCTTCAAAAATTTAAATGTAATGCCAATCACCATCTTCTGTCTTCCTGAATGATTTTCTTTTATTGTCTTTTCTTATCACTAAAGTCTTTTTTTCTTTCCCAGTAACCATTTGTGATCTAGTGGCATTGCTTTAGGTAAAATAATTAAAAAAACTTCATATCCTCATCACCTTGCAGTTCAAGTAAATCTTTGTCATGTATCTCCTGGGAGCAAACCACCTGCATAAAGATAAAAAATGAATTGACTAAGTACTCAAAAGCAGAAAAGGGGATAAGACAAGGATAAGTTTTCTCACTAAACTTATTCAACCTTTACATTCAGGTGGTCCTGAGAAAACTAGAAGTCCTAACAGGATTTATTACTGGTGGCCATAATCTTAACAACATAAGATATGCACATATCGCCATGTTGATAGCAGACATAGAAAGAAAACTGCAGGGAACACACAGATACATTCATAAAGGAAAGCAGGAAAAAAGGACTAACCATTAATTGTAAGAAGAGAGACTATATGGTTGCCAGCAAGAGGAACAGTCCAAGATGCAAGTTTTAATTTGGAGATGTCAAAATCAAGTAAAAAAATTCAAATACCTGTGATTTATTTTAAATGATGATAGAAAATGTGACACTGAAATCCAAAGGTATACTGAAATAACAAAAGATGTTTTCCAAAAGCTAAGCAAACACTGCAATTTCATTAGAAACAAAGAAAAGTGTGCTGAACTGCGATACAGTATCAATCCTCCTATATAGCAGTGAATGCTGGACAATTTTCTTACAGATGTAGAGAAAACCTGAGGCAACAAAGATGTGGTTCTATAGGAGAATGCTGAGAATACCATGGACTGAACATGTGGGCAATGAGTAGGTTTTATGGAAAATGGAAACAAAAAGGACACATACTGAGAATATGAAGAAGATATCTGAAATTTCAATGAATTTACAATGTTTAGCATAGTCTGGACAATCTCCTCACAGATGAAGAAGAGATTTGTGGCAACAGAAATATGGTTCTACAGAAGAATGCTGAGAATACCATTGACTGAACATGTGAGCAATGAGTAGGTTTTAAGGAAAATGGAAACAAAAAGGACACAGAATCAGAAAGACGGGGGTTTGGAGAATATGATACTCACAGGATATATTAAAAAGGAGAAGGAAACTGTAAATAACCTACTTAAAAAGACTGTGTAAATGATTATCAAACCAGGAAGTGGTGAGGATAGTAAAAAAAAGAAAAGAAACATTGGTAATAGATACAAGGGAGAGGATGTTGTGGATAGCTATGATCATCCACATCCTGAAGGGATATGGCACATTGAAGAAGAAAAAGTTCCCTATTGCCATTGTAATTTTTCACCTAACCTTTCATTTGCAATGTTCTCTCAGTGTAATCAAGCAAATCTAGTTTATAAACTGCCTTTTATTTAACTTCATAGAAATGCAATAATCACATTTAATCATTATACCTCTACTTTACTGAGAAAACAAAAAATCTATAGTATCATCTCAAATAATTGCTACTAAAATATAAATTAATCAAATAAATGTTTAATAGCCTGTTCTTTTATTGTTTTTGTTTTATTTTTCACAAAATTGTTTCATAAAGCTTTTTGCAACTTTTTTACATAAAGCTTTTTTAAAAATTTGTTTCAAAGTTTTTCTTTCAAATTTGTTTCATAAAGCTCTTTTCTTCTAAATTTGTTTCATAAAGCCTTTTTCTTCTAAATTTGTTTCATAAAGCTCTTTTCTTCTAAATTTGTTTCATAAAGCTCTTTTCTTCTAAATTTGTTTCATAAAGCCTTTTTCTTCTAAATTTGTTTCATAAAGCTCTTTTCTTCTAAATTTGTTTCATAAAGCCTTTTTCTTCCAAATTTGTTTCATGAAGCTTTCTTTTTCGAAAATCGTTTCATAAAACCTCAGTTTATTCTTGAATAACCAGTCTGTCAAAAGTATATCAAACAAAATGAAATCAGCCAAAGATTAATATTGATAAAAGATATTAAGTTATTATCCTGGGTAATTTCTGGTCATCTTACAGTACAGAAAGAAAAGTGTAGAACATATTTAAACATATTTGCATATTCACAAATTGAAAATTGGACTGCTTCCTTTTTTTTTAAGTTTAATATTAACACATGAATACAAATGCATGCAAACTCACACAAGCAATTTTATTTAAACTCTTATAAGACCGGGACCAAGCAAAACAAAAATCATTATACAAATGTATTAGATATACAAGTAGATATATTCATGACCATACACAATACAAAACGGCTTATAAATCAACACATATAGATAAAAATGCATACATAGATCAAACACACACATGCATACAGATATGAAATAATGCTCTCTTCCATGTCTCTGCAGCAGATGCTTATATATATATGCACTCATGTATATATATATATACACACATATTCACACACGGGCTACTGAAAAGTTCTCAATCTGGCCCACTTCCCAAATTCACTATTCTGATGTTTGGTCATTGAAATAGTGATTTTTGGGAAGTGGGTTGGGCTAAGAAATTTTCAGCACCCACTTACAAATGAACCCGTACATAAATGCACCCACATGAACACTAAACAATGCCTCATTTCATGTCTCATATTTAGATACTGGTAAATACATGTACATCTGTGCATACACAAAACACATACACACTTATATATATATATATGAGATTCACTGAAATAGTAATTTTAGATGCTTAGTTGAATTAAGAACTTCTCCACAATCACTAATGCATACAAATATATACAAACAAAAATACAAAATGTTGGTGTGACAAACTAACTGCTAAAGACCTAAATAAAAAAAAAAAAACAAAAAACAAATGAAAACTTTAGACAAGAAAAAAAAAATTATACATGAAAAAATGACCAAATGGCAAACAAATATATATTAATCATGTACTGTCATCTGTTGGATCTAGAGCCACAACCTTACCATGCTAGGTGTTAGTTTCCACAGAAAATTCATTTTGCCCAGTTGGCGTTGTTATATCATCATGCCAAACTTTGAATTCAAAGGTGTTCTTCTCCTAAAATGACTGCCAACCAAAACTAGAAAGCCTAGCCTGTTCTGTTATGAGGTTGGTGCAAAAATAATGACGTAATAATGTCGTTTTTTGACGTATTTTTAACGTCAAATACGACATTATTACGTCATTATTTTTGCACCAACCTAATATTAACCTCTAGCTGGAGAGAGAAGAGACGGATTCATTATCTTTAGCCTGAATTTTAACTTGACATGCCACTACCACTTTCGATACCAACAGCTGCTTGGGTACACACACATACACACACACATGCCCGATGCCCCCCCCCGCCAATATACACACACACACAAACAAACAGAAATGCCGCACTCGTCCATATCTATATTCACATCAGCATACAAATACACAAAAATCAGCTGTACACACTTTCTTACACACACAACAGAATTTGAAATCACAGTTTTTAGAATAGAAACGAATACAAAGACATTTTAAATACTACTTTTTTATGCAGCATAGAACCAAGATCAAGAATCCCCGAATGAGGATCGAACCCATTTCACGAGAATGTTTATGAGATTAATTTACAAACTGCAGTAAACTTCGACACAGGGCAAGCTAATTTTCTAAATCTATGAAAATGATTCGATTCTGAATAGGTAACCCATGAAATATCCTTGTGCCAAAGTAAACTGTACATGACTATGTTTATGCATAAGAGAGCTAATCTGAAATACCGTCATCAGGGTACAACACGCTGACAGAAGTGCATACGAAATGGATTTTTCTTTTTCATAACACAAAGGAAAGTTACACGTACATATTGTATAATAATACACACACACACACACGTAGATGTCTCATTCAATATTCATTTACTTTCGCCTTGTTCTGTCGCTCTGTTTCATGTATAATCAATCAATCAATGATAATAAAAAAATGTGTTCTCTTTAGATTTTAATGTATACAATGCTTGCGCTCGACAAAACAAAACAGCATCAAAAAGAAAATACAATAATTATTATGAAAAAAGAAAAATACAATATGAAAAAAAAAAAACTAAAATAATTGCAGACATCGTTACGGACACACATTAAAATGCCCACCTGCTGAAATCATTTTTTTTTTTCAAACAGTGCACGCACACACTCGTACTATAGGAAAAAAATATGAAAATAAACCTTCCCTCTCTCTCTCTCTCTCTCTCTCTCTCTCTCGGGTTCACCCACAATTAATTAAACACGCACTTTAACACATACTTTCTTGACGAAGCTCGTGAAGGCGAAATTAAAAACGCGTTTTTTTTTCTTTTTTTTTTTTTTTGCTTGTTTCTCGGTGTATAAAGAACGAAAAGATACAATTAAAAAGTGTATTCTGAGGTTTGAAAAAAAAAAACAAAAAAAAAACTGGCAATATCAAGGCACACAGACCACATTAAAAACAAATGTTTGTTTTGCTAGTAAACTTTTAAATAAACGTACTATTCCGACATCCCTAAGTTGTCAAAAACGCGTGTGCTCACAATTCACGTACAACACCCACTGATATGTCATATAACATGTACATTGTACAACCAGTTCATACATGCTCAAACATTGCAATCAAACAAAAATAGAGTATAAAAACAATATATAGAGAATTCAAACACCAATGAAACCTGAATTTATTAATGTTTTACCTTGTCGAAGTGTAAAGTGCAGAGAAATTAATAGGTAGGTAGGCATTAAGTAAGTTAAGAAGAGACAAAAATCACTTTTTTTGTAATGTTTTGTTTTGTTTGTAACACTCGGTAAAAAACTCAAATATGCTTGTACTTGAAAGGGACGCAAACAAAAATGCTCACACGGAAATATATGAGAATCAATGAAAAACGTGTTTATTCTCTTTTGGGGCGTAAAGTAAATAGACAAATAAATTGTACAGTTATTCAAGCGAGAAAAAAAAAACAAAAAAAAAACAAAACAGGAACCAAAAAAGAAAGAAAGAAAACAGAAACTAGCAGAACCGCAAACAAGCCAAAACAAAACAAAGTCCATGAAAAAGTCAAAGTAAAAAAGTAATTTTTACAGCTTTTTATGAATGTTGTGTAGGGTGAGGTTCTCCAGAGACATATAAT